AAACCTAGGGGCATATAGACTAATAGCTCTCCTTAATACTATAAAAAAGATTCTAAAGGCAGTTATCTTAAACCGAATTAAATATATAACTAAAGTATATAATCTGCTCCTTAATACTTAATATAATATATATATAGGTTAATTTATAGAAACAGTACTTTAATAGATTATAAAAAAAATTTATATAATTTAAGGAAGAAAAAGAAAAAGAATAGCTAGTCTCTTATTATTAGATGTCTTTAAAGCATTTAATAGAGTCTTATATACTTAGCTTACTTATAACTTAAGAAAGAAAAGAATCCCAGAATTACTTATATAATAAGTAATAGATTTCCTCTTAAATTAATATATAAAAGTAAAAGTTAATAACTTTACACTACTAGAAGTATTAGTAATAATAAGAATTCTTTAAGGATTACTAATCTCCCTAATTCTGTATCTCTTTTATAATATAGACCTCCTAGAAAGCTACAAGAATATTCGTCTTTATATAAGCGCTACAGACTTTATAAATAATATTAATATTTTTATATATAATAAAAGTACAGAACAAAACTATCTAAAGCTAGCAGAAATTTATAAGAAGTACTAATTATAAGTAGAAAAATTTAAATTTAAATTCTGCTTTAATAAGTATAAACTTATATACTTTAGTTATATAAAAAAAAATTTTAGAGTATAAGCTTAAAAGTAACATCTATATTTTAGGAGTAAGACTAGATTTAGTACTAAGATAACAAGTATATATATAAGTAGTTAAAGCAAAATTAGTCTATATAATTAGTACTCCGATCGGAAGAGCGTCGTGTAAAGACTACTATTTACTTAATAATTATATATATAGCTAGCATATAACACACCTCTTATAAAGTTAAAGGCCACTAAAAAGAAATTAGAGTAAAACTCTAAAAGATTTAAGGAAAGTGCCTTTATATAATTACTAGAGCATATAAGGTTATCTTAATAAAGGCTCTAAAGATAAAGACTTTTATCCTATTACTAAATCTTTATATTAAGAGACTAGTGACTAAAGTAATTACTAGACATTTATATAACAAAAGTAGTAATTAGTATTAAGAAAATATATAAATAAATCTGCAGATAAATAATAAGTAAGAGAAGAAGAATAATAATCCCTTAAAGCTCTTTAGCAGATTATATAAACATGTAAGCAAACAAGTTTACATTTAAACCCTAGGAGGCTTAACAGACAAAGAAGAATATGTCTTTATAGGAAAAGAATCAGGAACAATACTACAATAAGAGACTCTCAAGGTTGTATAAAGGACTTACTTCGCATTACAACAAGAGATAGAAAGATTACTAGAAATCCGGCAAGAAGGGTGCTCACTCAAGGAACCTGTGGTCATACCTAATAGAACGTACAACAGAGGCACACATAAGAATCAAGAAACATGAAAGCGCCTTACTAACACAGCTTCGTACAGGCAAAATAGGCTTTAACGCCTTCTTATACGAAATGAAGGTCCCTGACATCTTGAGTCCGAATTGCGACTGCTCAAAAGGAGAAAGCATGACAGTAGAACATGTTCTACTGAATTGCCCAAAGTGGTCTACAGAGAGAGAAGAGCTCATACACCCTCTTCGTACGACCGACATCAAGAAAATCCTGACCTCCAAGAGGGGAGCGAAGGCAGCTATCAGGATGATTCAGCGCACGAAGATCCTAGACCAGTTCAAGAGGGTTGTTGATCAAGACATAGAACAACGACCACAGGACGAGAATCAAGAAGAGGGGGAGGAGGCCAGAACGGAGGAGGAGGAATAAGAGCAGAAGAGAGTGAGAAAAGTTGTACGAGCAGACCTACATAGGCTCTTTAGTCTGGATTAGGTTAATAGAATTTACTACTATTATTACTACTACTATATAATTAGATTTTATTAAAACTAGATATTTAAAAATAATAATAATCTTTTTTATTTATAATTCTTAATAAATTACATAATATTAAATATTACAAATATTATTAAGACCTTATAATTTTGATCTTTTTTATTTATTAATTAAGTTATAAACTAAGAAAGTAATATATATTATTAATAAACTTAATATAATAGATAAAAAGAAAAGACTAATTAGATATCAAAATATTATAAGATGGCTAGAGAATACTATAGTCAAATTATTATACTTATAAAGATGGAATCACACTATAAACAGAATTAATCAAGTTCTTTAGAGAGTAACTACTTTATTAATAAATAGTATATAACAGAGCTAACGTTCCTTACTATAAGCATAAATTAAATTTCTATTAGTTGTCTTTAAGTATTATATTTAACGTCGCAGAAGGAAAATAGACTGTCTCTAAAAGCGTCTCTCTAATCTAGAGAACACCTTAAAGAGTTATTTAATCTAATATATATGTTAGATTAAACTTAGTCTATAATTATAAATAATACTCTTATCTTATATCCTCTTATAATAAATCTGAGTTATAACCATATATTATTATTATTTCTAGATGTTTATAAAGAGAGCAGAAATAATGTCTGTTTCTTCCGGACTTTTACGCAGTGTTAAATCTGTAACGAATTAATATTGAAGCGAATCTTAAGTGATTTAAAAGGGGTTTTTGACTCAGAGACTTTGAAGATTTTGGAAACACGTGCTGACTGTGCTTAGGCTTAATTCATGATTGCTTTCTAGTTATAAGAAATTAAAGTAGATGAATCTTTTATTAAGTGGATATTAGGACATGACATCAAGATGGAGTGTGGCGCTAAGATATAGAGACTGCCATAGGAGATCGCGATAATAGTTATCTTATATTATGCCATATTTGGTATGCACTCTTGCTTGGTACGCGTGGATAAAGACAATAGATTTATATGTATAGGCAATCGAGTCATTGGTGCTCAGTTTCTCGTCATCTCTTATCAAGTCTCGGGGCCCGCTAGACCCGAGGGGGCAATTCACAGGTACTTACAGAGTATTTAATCATTCAAATGGAGATACAGTGTCTCTCTTCGACTGAATACTACAGCAACAACAGCATAGCCAGGATTGTGGACTTGGAGGATGGTAAGTGGGCGGAGAAATCTGCTCTAGAAGGAATTCTCTTCTCCGCGGACGGCCTACTGCTTAAGAGAAAGTCCATCTTGCTTCGACTCCGTGCGCGATCGGCTTAAGAGCCATGTAGATGGCGTTGGTAATATGGAGAATGTAATACAAGAAAGCCTTTGTCAGCTTTTGTACCTGGAAAGCCCCCGAGAACAGTATTTAAAGCTTTCTCAGTCCTGGAATATCGGTAACTCTTGTAAGTGCCGCGCCAGCCACGTCAGCGATTTGAATACAACTCATTACCGCACTCTGGCACCATGCGAAGAGGCTGCCAGCCTCAACCGCTCCAATAGATGCTTGCCACGTTGCCGCTACAGAACCGGACACAAGTGGAAGCCCATGAGAAAAGATTTGTCGCTTCGCTGCGGAATTCTTCTAACTTCTTGACCGGTTTCCCAATCGCAGACATCGGTCCCTACCCGGCATCTCATTGGTGGGCGCTTCGATGCATCATGACGCCAGTCTGAAACAGTCGAGTACACTACTCCGTATCATAATCACCTATGTGATACATAACGTACCGTCTCATTAACGTGCATCCCTGCGTGGTGAAATGCCCTACGTAAAGTTTAGGTGACCTGGTACTTCTCACGTCGGCGCGAATCGCACCACCCTCACCATGCCACTGCGACATCTGAGCTTTGGTAGATAGTCCTCAATCGATTCCACATCAGGTCCAGCCAAGATCACTAATCTTACCGCCGTGCTTCTCATCGACGTCGGCATCTCTCCTTACCGATCTCGTCGATGTATCATGACCCCGGTCAGTATCTTTAATGTAAAGACGAAAATCATGCGAGAATGTCGATTTGAAGATGCTGAACAAGTCTTCTTACATCGGTGAACGGCCCAAAACAGCCGAGTACGCTAGTCTGTATCATAGTAATTTACATCACACGTAACGTGCATCCCTGAGTGGAGGAATGCCCTGGGTAAAGTCTTGGCGACCCAGTACTTCTCACATCGACGCAAGTTCCACCACCCTCACAATGCCAGTGCAGCATGTGAGTATGTAGATAGTTCTCAGCCAATTCTACATCAGATCGAGCAAGAACATGAAAATTACCGCAGTGCTTCTCGATCTGTCGTGTCATTTTCTCGGCCGACGTTAGTATCCCTCTTGACTAATATAGCCGGTGCAATGTAACACCAGTCAGTGTCTTTCAGTAAAGAAGACAGTTCAAGGCAGAATGTCGAGCTGAAGGTACTAGACCGTTTTTCGTTATCTGTCAGCAGTGGTTCTGATGTGTAGGCAGAGCTTGGAAACATACATAGTACATCGTCGAGAAGCCGAAAGAGCCGAACACGCAGCCCCGTACTGTATTTATCTGATTGGCACGTAATTTAAAATTACGTACCGTTACCAAGGAATCTGGGAAATGATCTAGCGTCACGTGTCGTTCCACATGCTTTCTACAGATCTAAAAATATATCGGTGATCCGTCTGTGCCCGCCTAATGGAGACTTTTTCCTCACAATCTACCCGCCATTCGACTTCGATTGCCCTTTGTATGAAGAGATCTCAAGCAGTTCTTGCAATGCAAAAGATGGACAGCATTCCACCGGCAGACATCTTTGCTGCAACGATCCTTGAGAGATCGCAGAAGTTTTTTCCTGTGATGATGCCATTGTCAGAATTCCGTTCAGGAAGTGGCGAGGGATTGGACAAGAAAGGATGTTTAAGAATCGGAAGTGCATGGCCCCAGCTTTCACAGCCTTATTGCTTGAAACCTGCACGTCCTGAGTGGAGGTTATGATGCCAGAGCTGTCTCATACCGTGACATGAATTGTCAGACTGCTCCTCGTGACGAAAGTATAACTATCAGATGGTTGAACCGACGTTATCGAGAGATCCTTTTATTTGGCTCACCCTACATTGTTTTTGCAACGAATACCTTCACCAAAGCTAAACGATATGGGTGAATCTTCCAGTGCTAGTTCTGATCCTTCTACCGAACATTCAGATGACAAACGCAACATCTCGCGTCAAGCCGGCCGGCCCACTGGATCCTCATCTCGACCTTCAAACCCTGCCCAATCAGTCTTCGCGAACCGTGATGGTAGGCATGAGTCCTCATCTACGAGCTCTTCTATATCCCGGTCTGCACGCCTTCACCGACCATCAGCAGAGCCACCAAACATGCATAGATGTTCACCACCAAGCAAAAGGTCGGTACCAGCGGGTGTTACTGTGGTCCCAAGATTATTACCCACCGATGCTGTCAAAGCTTCCCCTAGATGTCTAGGATGTTTCTCTCGGTCTGTCAGACCTAGCAGAACCTCATCTAGAATTGACGGAAGCGCAAGCGAATCTTCAACGACAGGCGCTGTGCAGCGCTCGTCAGAAAGTCTCAAAGCTAAATCTAGATCGAACCAAAATCGAAAGAGTGGACCTACGGCAGCGACGCCTACAAGCTCACTTCGGAGAATTAGTCCCCCAGCGGCAGAGACTGGTCCGAATCTCAAGGAGTAAGCAAGCTCTTCTTTCATCTGTTGCGGAAGCTTAGCATCTTATCTAGGGAGCGCGGGTTGATACTGGAGACGGCCAAGAATCCAATCAAGGTTGCTGAAAGAGGGATACGTTTGCTGTGCCTCGACGGAGGCGGCGTCCGCGGGCTATCCTCGCTCCATATCTTGAAGAAGCTCATGGAAACGATCGACCCTGGCCGGCCGCCTAAGCCGTGTAAATACTTTGACATGATCGGAGGAACCAGCACTGGCGGGTATGTACTCTTGGCACTCCGAGGAAGATTAAAATCTTGCTAACTCGTCTAGATGAATCGCCATCATGTTGGGGCGCTTGCGAATGGACATTGATCAATGCATTGATGCCTACATTAGCATGTTCGACCAAGTCTTCAAAAAGAAGAGACTTCCGGTTACAATCGGGGGCAGAATTCAAGACCGGTTTGATACGCAAGCATTGGAGAAGGCAATCAAGGAGGTCGTTCTTAATCAGTGCGGGCGACCAAATGATGTAGAAAATGCTCTGCTTCAAGATGGTGATGGTCGAAATGTGCGATATAAAGTGTATAAAGATATTCTTTCCAAATGTGCGACTTATTGACTGATCATTTCTCAACAGCTTCGTATGCGCGACAAGGAAAGAGACAGCCCAGTCGATGCAGTTCAGGAGCTATCAGTCCGCCCGCGGCTCTTCTGACCTGTTGCGGAAGACGAAGATCTGGGAGGCGACAAGAGCGACTTCGGCAGCTCCGTCTTTCTTCGATCCGATCAAGATCGGCGACTATGATGAAGAGTTCACTGATGGCGGTACAGGCGCCAATAATCCCGTCCGAACTCTTTGGATCGAGGCCAAGAACACTTTACTAGGGCCAGGCGAGGCGCTTGAAAAAAACCTCAACCTGTTAGTCTCCATTGGCACCGGTGTCCCTTCACTCAAGCCTTTCGGTAACAGTCTATTGGAGATCGCAAAGACGCTGAAAAGCATGGCCACAGAGACCGAGGCGACAGCGGAGTCGTTCCATCGGGGTCATTCAGAACTTGATGACAACAGCCAGTATTTTCGTTTCAATGTGACCAAGGGTTTGAAAGACGTTGGACTGGAAGAAGGGGCCAAGAAAAATGTAATCATGGCCGCGACAGAAAGCTACGTTGAGTCCGAGACTATAAGAAGACAGATGTCGCGCTGTGGAAAGCATAAAATAGAAAAGAACTGTTAGTTTCGTGTCTCTGCTATTCGTTGAATGCTTATAGTCTGGTCAGGACCCAGTGAATCTGTTAACAATATGCACTGGACGGTGACGCGCTCCCTTAACAATCTTTTCATCGGCCGAGAGTCAGTTTTGAACACGATTGAAGAGTCTATTCGACATACCCTGCGAGATATCAAACCTACTGGACAGCAAAGATTCGTCATCACTGATATGGGAGGGCAGGGTAAAAGCGAGATCTGCCTGCAGCTTGCCGATCGCGTCCGTCAACTGTAAGTGATGTTCGTCATTTGGGTCGCTGATGGCTGACAACACCAAGATTCTGGGGCGTCTTTTGGGTCGACGCCAGCACCGAGACGTTGGCCGAGTCTGGCTTTTTAAACCTTGCCGACAAGCTTCAGATTGCAGCGCAGACGTTAGACGAAGCTCGACAAGGGCTTGCCAATGTCAAGAAGAGATGGTTGCTTGTTCTGGACAACGCCCATGATCCCAAGATCGACTATCAGCGTTACTTCCCAGCGGGAATCGCAGGGTGGGGTGATGTTGACATCGCGGAACGAGGAATGCCACCAGTACGCGACGGAGAAGGTCATTGAACTGGAGAGGCTCCCTGAGAACAAGGCCCGAGAACTGTTACTTCGGGCTGCTAGGATTCCCGATGCTCGGCGCTTAGCGGTCAAGGGCGATGCTCAGGTGGTGGTAACCCTTCTTCACTCACATCCTCTAGCCTTGATCCAAGCCGGTGCGTACGTAGCTCAGGGCCACTGCACACTAGCGGAGTATCCGCAGATCTTTGCACGGCAGCGAAAGCGACTGCTCAAGTTTTCACCGACTCAGGCGCGCTCACGCTATGGAGACGTGTATGCGACGTTTGAAGCGTCGGCAGAGATCCTCCGAGCTTCGGCCGAGGCCATGCCGGCATCGTCGACAACGGAGTCGGCCCGAGATGCGCTAGAGTTGCTGCCGGTGCTGGCCTGCTGCGGACCCACTCGATTACCTCTGCCGGTGTTTGAAGCAGGATGGAGAGGCGCGCAAGAGATCAGTCGAGATCAGGCTGACAAGTATGATGAGACCCTTGCCTTGACGGCGTGGCACGTCTCCCGTCTGCCGTCGCTTATTCGGGCCCGTGCAAACACGTGGGACTCTTATCGGCTGACCAAAGCGATTCGCTTGTGCAGAACACTGGCTTTGATGTCGACTGACACTCAGGACGGAGTCATGAGTGTGTCGATGCACCCGTTGGTACACGCGTGGGCAAGAGATCGGGCAAATGCGGCGGAGCAGCATAAGGGTTGGTTGACGACAGGGTGCCTAATGGCCGTCTCCCGCAGCGACGGCGAGCTGTGGCGGCGACGTGGACGGCAATTGCAGCCTCACATGCAGACGTTGACGCTTTGGGACAGCAGCAAGATGTTCGGCTCTGAGCCGGCGATGAAGATCACAAGCATCTTGGTGGATTGTGGGCGGCTGCTGTATAGGATGCGAGATGACGCCAGGGTGTTTGTGCTAATGAACAAGTTGCTCGCTCACCTAGGCTTGGATGGACAGAAAGTGGAAGAAAGATGGTTAGTGGTGTACAAGCTTACTGCTAAGAATCTCATTAACTATGGAAAGGTCGGGAAGGCAGTATCGCTGCTGGAGCAGGTGATCAAGATCAAGGAGCTGACCCTGGCGGAGGATCATCCGTTACGACTGGCGTCACTGCATGAGCTGGCGGGAGCATATCAAGCGGACGGACAGATTAAGACGGCGGTGCCGCTGCTGGAGCAGGTGGTCAAGATCCAGGAGCAGACTCTGGCGAAGGATCATCCGTCACGACTGGCGTCACAGCATGAGCTGGCGAGAGCATATCGAGCCAACGGACAGGTCCAGAAGACAGAGTCGCTGCTGGAGCAGGTGGTCAAGATCGAGGAGCAGACCCTGGCGGAGGATCATCCGTCGCGACAGGCGTCACAGTATGCGCTGGCGAGAGCATATCGCGCGAACGGACAGGTCACGGAAGCGGTGTCGCTGCTGGAGCAGGTGATTAAGATGACCCTGGTGGAGGATCATCCAGATCGACTGGCGGCACAGCATGCGTTGGCGATGGCATATTGCGCGAACGGACAGGTCACGAAAGCGGTGTCGCTGCTGGAGCAGGTGGTCAAGATGCGGGAGCAGACTCAGACGAAGGAACATCCAGATCGATTAGCGTCACAGCATGAGCTGGTGAGAATATATCAAGCGGACGGACAGATTAAGGCGGCGGTGCCGCTGCTGGAACAGGTAGTCAAGATCCGGAAGCAGACGCAGGCGAAGGATCATCCAGATCGACTGGCGTCACAGCAGGTTCTGGCTACAACCTACTGGGATCTTGACCGCCACACCGATGCGGTCCAGATGATGAAGCATGTTGTTGCGATTAGAAGTCAAGCGCTTGACAAGAAGCACCCAGACCGGAAGAACTCCGAAACTTGGCTCGAGATTTTCGAGGATAAGTTGCGCAAGCTCACGACTACATAAATTGGGGATAAACGATTTAATCTATTTGGCAAGCCATGTGAATCCATTATTTATCTCCTAATGAAAAGTGCTTTACTTATTATCTGCATGACATTTTCACGTCCTCGTCTTTTTCAAAGAGACCTCAAAGTATTCCTCAAATTCGTCGTGTTTATGAAACACCACACAGAAGCTAGGGGGTGGTAGCAGTGATGCTGCCCTAGAAGTATCTGCTAAACGGAATCGAATACAATAGCTAAGGAAGAAGAAGAAGAGTATGTACACAGAGGTGGCAGATATATGTATGCCGCAACGCCAAGCCTTGTGACAAAGCCAAGGCTGCGCACAAAGCCAAGGCTGCACATTCGCCAACACACGTCGATCACAACCGTCATAGTTTATTAAATCGCTTCGCTTCGCAGTATTAAAGATCCTCACAAAAGAATCCTTTTACTGATAGTTAAGAGACATATCATCCACTTTATTATCGACACCTCGTCGGATATTATACGAGCCTAAAATCTGCATAAATTCTATTACTAAACTCAGTCGCTGGAGATAATAGAGATATATATGATAATGAAGAGCCTTGCTTAAAGACGTTTAAACACCATTAATAGTAGAAACAGCTTGACGAAAGATGGGTGTTTAAAGAATAGAGCTTTTTCATCGTAATTGTAAACTTCGGCGAGAAGGACGAACTCTAACTCGGAAAATATCCCTAACTGATCCTATGTTGAATTCGAAGACGACATCATCCAGTGCTAAAACGATCATAAGTAAAATGGAGTCAAATATAAGATTGTCAACTTTAGAGAAAACGAAGATTTTGCTATATATTTAGCTTAGTATTAACGAGTTCATGAAGGAGAAAGAGAGTCTGGCTCACCGCTTAGGCTTTCTTTGATGTTCTTTGATATGCTTAACATCAATTTTCATAGTCAAAAGATCCCGAATCCCATCAGGATTAGGGCGTAAGAATAGTGTAACATCGCCATAACAGAGTGTCTTGGCCTGTTCGCTGTCCCAATCACAATTCATGGTGTCATCTTCTTCTTCTTCCTCCTTGTCTTCATCGTCCTCGCTGATACAGTAATCTTTGTCCTTTTTTTCATTCTTTGGCACGTACACTAATGTGCCTGGCCGAGTTGCAGTGTATGCAGAGATAAGTATCAGGAAGGGTACTTGTAGCCGTTGACGACCATCTAGGAAAGTGGCGGTATTCCATAACCCAGTGATGGTGAAGAATTTAAAAAACGTCATCGACATTCATCACCGGTTTCTCTCGCGTTGTGAGATCAAGATTATATGATTATCGAAGGTCCTCGTCAATGTACTGTAGCCTGTCAGCCTAGATTCTTTTCTTGAAATGATAGAGTACGTACGTCGTTAATATTCGCAGCTATCTTCGCATGCAAGCTTCGACCGATACACCGCCGATAGAGCATACGCCAAACTCTCTAATATTCATGAAGTGTGCTTTTCTTTCGTATCTTGTATTGGTCTAATATCCATTTCCAGAATGTTATGATGTCCTCTTTGGAGCAGTGTTGAAGAAAGACGAGGAGATCTTCATTTATTAATACACAGAACCTAAAACTGATTAGCCTACTGACAAAGTTGATGTCGTTGATTGAGAGAAACTTACTTTTTCCACCGTTTTCTTATCCCTCTGATATTGTTCTTAGTGGAAATGGCATGATGCTTTTTGATGGTCCCTTTCTCGGCCAATTGCTGCCGGTGTCGATGATAGTGCTCAGCTGTCAAGGAGTGTGAATCTTCAAATTTCTGCATGCCCATCCTGCAGTCTTCTAAGTCCGCGTGGCACCTTAGAGACAAAAGAGGGCAAGAACAGAGTGTAGGTGGATGAAGAGGTAAATAGATGAGATGGAGAGCCGTGTATAAGACTGTGAAAAGCTGCTCCGAGTAGTGGTCGTGGAGGGAACCTGTTGTGAAGGATGAATGTAATAGGCAGAGGCCATCGCGTCTTTATAGTCGAGAGGAACTCAATGACTATTAGTGATACCTCTAACAAGGTGCGAGTACAGTGCATCGAAGGGAGCAGTTTCTGGCGGTCGGGCAACTAGGGGCCCAGAAAAGGGAAAGGGGGGTGTTAGTTTTTGAAGCTTGTGAAGTTGGTAAAATTAGACTGGGTGACAAAAAAGGCGGTAGCACGTCACATGACCCATGGTGCAACAGACGCCGAAAGCAGCGTCAAAGACTGCCTAAATCAGCGTCCTACGTCCCGGAATCTAGAGTTGTGAGATAGTCCAGCGCCTCAGCTGCATCTCAATTGGTCCGGAGGCGGCATGCTCGCGAAGCCGACAGCAGCGGTCGTCCCCAAGACCGGCGCCGCATGCCTAGCGGGTGGTTTTTAGTGATGGAGGCATGCAGCAATCGGTTCGAACTGCCGTAAGCAGCGTCAAGGTCGGATTGAACGAATAATCATCTACCTCCAAAACCGCACGCGCGGTGTCTCATTCTTACGGCGCAGGCGGTGATCCCCGAAATGCGTCGATCACCATCTGTTGGACCAAAAGGGCCACGGCCCTCAAAGGACCGTAATGTAGCTTTTGTCTGACACCATCGTCGGTGCGTTATATTCAGGGGATACGCGGCTGAAGACCACTGTGCCTGTATCCAGGTTCCGCATAGCTTGGACAGCGAGCGACGTTGGTTAAGAAATCGCGGCGCCCGGTTTGTCGTGTCCAGCAGTAGCATGTTGTGGGACCCCCAGGCTGACAAGAGATTTTGAGATTAGCCGCGTAGGAGGGGACAGAGGCCGTTGGGATCACAGTAGGGGGCGGGGCAGAATTGATGACAAGGATGGCATGAGACCAAAGGAGGATTGCAGAGCCACCGAGCAATCAACCCCATGTACCGCCTCTGCCACTTCTAGTGTTTTTCCTCCGCGTACCAGGTCTCCAGTCGTCTTCACGGGCAGCTGATCGGTAAAGTAGCCGTATACGCTCGGCCTTCTTGCGTTGGGATAGAGTGCCGTCTATAGGGGTTTGAACCATTTTGGAGCAGGCTCGGTAAGCACGGGTTGAGATGTCCGTACACAACACCCCATTCGACGCGATCTGAAGGAAGGAGAGGCGCAAGACGACCACAGGCCAGTACCCACCGGTGTGCAGGCATCCAATCATCCGCCGAACGGTGCGGACTCTGGGGGGGCGGGAATCGCAACGGGCGGGTGGGTAAAACGGAGGACGGTCAGGTTGACGACGGCAGAAGACGGGCCCCTTAAAAGCAGCGGGCCAGCGCCATCCCTTTTTGGACCACGCTAGACCCGATCGCGTAGATCCCGGGCGAGGGGAAAGCCCTGTATTCCATGTCCTGTGGTCGATTGTGGAAGCAAGGTGTTATCAAATAGAATAATCATCTTTAATTCAAGTGCAGAGAACGCTCTCACCTCTGCGCAACCCGATATGAGATCCAAGTCCAGCTATTAGATTTACCATTACAGAGTACCCTCTTATATATTATTATAATACCAATTCTCTAGATATGTAAGATCCGCACTCGGGCCTGCATTACAGGCGAAGACCCTAGAATTACAGATGTAGACCTACCTAATCAACCTAGTGATCAGAGGCGCTCAGCGTGAGTAGGCGTAAACACGCTACTCCAAGTCTATATAAGCACGCTCGTTCCCCCGATACTTTTATAGTCTCTGTAGAAAATTCATGTCATTGGCTCATGCCTAAGCTGAAGACATTCTAGTGTTCTGTGCTTGTACCCTCTGCTCTACCAACTCACCCCTCTTGGACCGACTTCGAGGTGAGACTGGTCTTAACCAGTTGAGCTCTAACATGTATCTCATTATTGGTGTTCCGAGTAGATGAGAATTCTAATGGTCAGGTAGATGGTCAAGTAAGAAACCGGTAGTATCGCATCTGGCGCCTCATCCACAAATGCTATCCACCACTCTGTCGTAAATTTTGCGTATTTTTTAATTGGTCAATGACGCCAACGCCAAGACTTTTAGCGCAGTAAGCTTAAACCTTAATTTTCTGCATAGCAGTGGCAGCAGGATAGGAATATACTAATTGGCCGTGCGAAATGACGCAAAAGCACCACCAAGAGGAGATTTCGGGCCCTCTAGACGAAGTAGAAGCTGCTCCGTTAGCTAGCGAATGCCCTCGACCCAAAAGAGCTCGAATTCAGAGTCGAAAAGCCCGCGAAAATCAAGCACAAAGTGATGCATTCGATGTACTTTCCTTTAGACCTGCTATTGCCTCTTTGAGCGTGCCAAAACCAGCAACTCTAGAGCGCTCAGATTCTTCCTTATCTACGGGTATCCAACCTTCTGTATCAAAACGGCGACGGCCATCAAACAGCCAAAACAGCTCTCAACAAACTCTGACGAAGATACAAGACAGAGAAGAGAAGGAAGAATGGCAGATATAATTTGAATCTGCAAAGAACAAGGCAGAAAAGTTGAAAATCCTTGCTGAACATATTGGCCCTAGTCGTCCTTACCCAGAAAAACTAAACATTCCGAAGTCATATTCGTCAGGACAAGTACTCCTTCGTCCTTACGAATTAAGGCTAATTGATCTCTTTTATTGATTTATACCAAAAGAGCTATTTAGAGAGATAGCAGATAATACCAATGAATATGCATTTGAAGAGAAAAACACAAATTTCGACTATACGCAACGAGAATGGCAAGAAGTAACAGCTACAGATATTGGGGGGTATTTGGGTGTAGTTCTCTTAATAGGGGCACAGCCGGGCAGCAGAGACCTTGCCTATTACTGGAATCAGAAGGAGAACTATCCCTATTAGCTAGTTGCTAAATATATCTCTCTATGCTAATTTCAACAAATATCTCGCTTTCTTAAGATCAACAGGCCAGGGCCTCTCCCTGATAATCAATAGCATCAAAAGATTGAGCCTCTTGTTACAAAACTACGCGAAGCAACAACACTAAGTGTCTACGAAGTACTATAGAATCTCTTAATTAACGAGTAATTGATTCGATTTAAGGGCCGTTTAAAGCACACGATACAGAT